TAAAAATCAAAAGGAAAAGAAAATCAAAATTCTTCAAACTGATAGGGGTGGCAAATATTTTTCAAATTAATTTCTCTTTTTTGTGAAGATAATGGAATTATTCATCAAAAGATAGCCCTTTATGCACCTCAACAAATGGTTTAACCGAAAAGAAAAATAGAACCTTGGTTGATATGGTAAACAATATATTGTTAAATGTTAAATTACCTCTAAATCTTTAGGGAGAAGCACTTTTAATAGCATGCCATATGCATAATAGAATTCTTTCAAATAAATTCTTAAAGACACCATATGAACTTTGAAATCATGACAAAAAATAAAATTTGGATTATTTTAAAATATAGGGGAGCATTGCCTTTTATAAAATACCTCATCCTCATAAATCAAAATTAAGACCTAGAGGTATTAAAAGTATTTTTGTTGGTTATACACAGAATTCAAAAGCATATAGACTTCTTGATTTAAATACTAATGTTATTGTCGAATCTATTCATGTAGAATTTTTTAAACATAAGTTTATATGTGATACTGAAATTGATATGGAGAAACAAATTGAAATGATTCCTATGACTGAAAATAAAATAAAAGAAAGTAATGATTCTGTTAAACTTAAAAGGAGCAAAAGAACTAGAAAAGAGAATCTTTTGCCTTCTGATTTTGTTTCTCTAGATTCTATAGTATTCTTAGTGTAAGGAAATAGAACCAAAGTGCTTAATAAAACACCAATTCTACTAAATGTAGATGAAGACCCTAAAACATTTACTGAAGCTATGACTTCAAGAGATGTTGCTTTTTAGAAAGAAGGTATTAATAATAAAATGGACTCAATCATGTATAATAATACATAGGTCTTGGTAGATTTACTTCCAGGTTCTAAACCTATAGGATGTAAATGGGTGTTTAAAAAGAAATATAATACAAATGGTTCTGTACAAACCTTTAAAGCAAGATTAGTTGCAAAAAGTTTTAAACAAAATGAAGGCATAGATTATTTTGATACATATGCTCCAGTAGCTAGACTAACATCCATTAGAGTTCTTATAGCTTTGGCTTCCATTTATAAATTATATGAGCATCAAATGGATGTTAAGACAACCTTTTTAAATGGTGACTTACAGGAAGAAGTATACATGGAACAACCAAAGGTTTTGTTCTTCTAGGTAATGAGAATAAAGTTTGTAAATTAATTAAGTCACTTTATGGGCTAAAGCAAGCTCCTAAACAATGGCATGAAAAGTTTGATTCAACTATAATAGCCAATGGTTTTAAAAATAATGGAGCAGATAAGTGCATTTACTCATAATTTACTAAAAAATATGGAGTTATATTATGTCTCTATATGGATGATATGCTAATTTTTAATACTAATATGATTGGCATAAATGAAACCCAAAGGTATCTGATTTTTAATTTCAAAATGAAATATTTAAATAAAATTGATACAATTTTGAGAATTAAAGTTAAGAGATATAACAAGGGTTTTGTACTTAATTAAAGTCATTATATTAAGAAACTGCTTAATAAGTTTAAGTTTCTTAATAAAAAAGAAGCTAATACTCAACATGATACAAATAAAAAATTAACAGAATATCAAGGTTATGTAATTACACAACTTGAATATGCTAGTGCTATTGGAAGTATTATGTATGCTATGCATTGTATTACGCCACATATAGCTTTTGATGTTTGCAAGTTATCAAGATATACAAGTAAGCCTAGTATAAGTCATTAGAAAGCTTAAAAGAACTAAAGATTTTGGCTTATTTTATTCTGGAGATCTAGTTGTTTTGAAAGGATATTCATATGCAAGTTGGATCACTAGTATAAGTGACAATAAATCCACTTCAAGATGGATGTTTACCTTTTGAGGTGGTGTAATTAGTTGGGCATCCAAGAAACAAACTTGCATTTCACATTCAACTATGGAATCTGAATTTATATTTTTAGTTGCAGCAAACAAGGAAGCTGAATGGCTAAGAAATTTATTAATGGATATAGAGTTATGGCCACAACCAATGACAGTGAAGCTACTATGTATAGAGCTTATAGTGAAATTTGTAATAAAAAATCTAGACATATTAGTCTAAGACATGATTATATCAGAGAATTGATAAAAAATGGAGCGATTACCATAATATATGTTAAATCTACTAACAACTTAGTAAATCCTCTTACCAAGGTGCTACCTAGAAATTTGGTAAGAAGCACCACAAGTGGAATGGGTTTAAAATTCCTCTTAAACACCAATAATGGGAACATAACTTTTAATTAGTAACTTCTAATTGCAAAGTTTAATAGGTAACAACAAGTTATTGTTATGTGTCTGTAAACACTAGTCAATCCATTCTAAATATTTAGAATACTAGTGTAAGCCATTACGTAAATGGAGGGTGAGATTAAACTCTTAATGGATTTTATAGTTAAATGTCTATAGCAATAGAGACATAAATAAAAAGCACCACCTATATAAACATAGAAGTAGTGTTGCTTTAATAAAAAAAAATTGGAAACTTTCTTGTAAATGTTTATGAATAAGGATAAGCACATGGTCATAATAGTGCTAAAGCAATTATAAACCTCTAACAGAATATTAAATAAATATTATGTGTATTATATCTTCAATTTTAATACTAGGAGTTGAGATTTAATCTGCGAATACCATCAACTTTATTAGAATTCTAATGTATATACGCTAATTAAAGTTTTAAATCGAAAGATACCTTCTTGTATTCATAATATTTATTTGTGTGAAAGGTTAAAGATTAAGCACCAGCATTCCAAACTAGTAAGGGATTATTGGTAGTTTATAATATAATATATCTCACATTTAGTAGAAAGATCATTTATATGTGGTTTAAAAAAAATTACTCATGTTATTTAAGTAATTGAGCTAAGTGTTGGAGTGAGCCAAGTCATTTGAGCTTGTTAGGAGTTTTCCTAGTGGGTCAAATAATTATAAAAGTCAAAGATAGGCACATGGGGCACTTAGGCTTGTTTGGCAAAAAGATTTAATTTTTAAATCATTTTTTTATTTATTTTGAAATACTACTGATTCTAAATAAATATATTTGAATAGAGAAAAACATGATGGTACAAATAAACATATCTGAACAAGAAAATATGACTGTGTAAATAAAGTTTATTTAAACAAGAAAACATGACTATACAAAATGTTATGACTTTTTGAATTGACTTGATTAGTTACTGTTCATTTATTATAAATAGATCTGTTTGCCTAATTAATTTTACTACTTCTGATTTAGAGAGTTTTTAAGGCTTTGTTATATCTTGTAGGGATAATTATCTTTAAGATAGTGTTCTTCACGCCTCAAAACTATATTTTTTTTTCTTATTATTTATGGTTTATTATATTTTCTAACAGAAAAGGGGGGCATATTCCATTTACCTTCCATTAGCAATCTCATTCTTCCCAATAAACCCAAAGAAAGGCCCTTGATTTGACTCCTCAAGCTTTTTCTACTTAAAGTAGTCTTGCAACTCTTTTGCCTTCTGCCTCTAACACTCCAACGTGCTGATCACATTTTGGTCTCCCATAGCTGCCATAGAAGCTGGCTTCAAAGGAAGCGACGGTGGTGGAGGTGAAGAAAAAGGAGGAGGAGAAGGTGTTGGTGATGATGATGAAGAAGAAAGGGAAGGAAGAACAAGTTTCAAAGGAGGTGGTGGAGATCAAAGGACCTTCAATTTGAGAACTCCTTATAGTCACAATATAAGGCTTAGGTATTGTAGACAACCTACAACTAGTCGAAGATGATGAAGAAGAAGAATATGAACATGGAAAAGAAAGGTTTGGGATTTTGATACATGAGATTGAGGATGTCAGATATTTTTTTTTTCTTTGTATTTATTTCTAGATTCAGTGTTGGTTTTTTTATTTCTTTATTTATTTTTTTGGTGTTTTTAACGTTCTTGCAAGTTTTAAAATTGTGTTAAAAGTTGGGCTGTGTGGATAAGGCGTGGCCAAGTTTCTACAGACAGATGGCCCAAAATATAGTTGGTCTCGATGGTTGGTTGGCTGATTGGCGCCACTGGGTTCTTAAGCGAATGAGAAACGCATGTCATTCCCAACTTGGTATTACGATCCCACGTGCTTCCTTTGAGTGAAATGAAAATGGTAACAAACAATTGGCGACGGTGAGTCGTGTAGATATTTGAATCGACGGAAATCAATTCCCACCTCATTTCGTTATTTTTGTACTCCTTCTCGCTTCTGTGATTATTTTATTACTTTTACTTTTAATTATAAGAATAATAAATTATACCATACGTGCCAATAAAATTTTTAAATTTCACAGTTAACTAAAGAAATTTGACCGTTATAACATATTTTATTAAAATATCTTTAAAGTAATTAATATAATAATAAATAAATAAAGTATGATAATATTTTTATTTCACACAGAATCTAAAAACTCCATCCATTATATAAAAAATAATAATGCTAAAAATAATTTTAAAGTTCATTCGACCAAATAAAAGTACATTATATTTATATTTTACAATTCATAATTTAGGTTCAATAAAATGAAAATTCAAACCCCCATTGTTTAAATAAAATTATACATGTTTACTTAAGCTTGTGAAACGAAGATTCAAAAATCAAGCCTTGAATCAACAAGATTCTCATGTTTTTGAATAAAAATTTTGCTACTCTGCTGTCACAACGCCCGTACACTACAATATGATTATTTCTAACCAGGAAAAGAGAACAAGCACGACATGAAAATACTTTTTAACTAAAAAAAACAAAGCATAACACATTAATTACCATGAAATAATGGACAACAGAGTCATGCAACAACAGCCCAGGCAGGATGACAATTTATATCTCAGATTAAATATTAAATATACACACAAAATAATCAGTCCAACTAAGGTGATCCGGAAAGAAAGTGGGAGTATTTCACTTACAATTTTTTTTTATTATAATTTTACAATTATGCAATCACAATAAAAAATTATGTAAAAATGCACCACTTATGCGAGTTTATATAAAATTTTGATAGATCTTACACAATTTTGAATTGTGATTGATTAATTATATTATAATAATTATAGGTGATATGCTCAAAAAAAACCTCTATTTTTTGCATTCCATTTCCATGTAGAATAAAAGAAAAAGTCTTCTTTGCCCACAAATCATTAAGCATCTCCAACATAAGACCAGCTCTGTTAGCAATTATTTACCTGATGCACCATTGAAACTCAACATAATGGCCAAACTACATAATTGTACATGAACAACTTCTTTCACTTCCATTATCGAATTCATCATCTGATCCACCTGTTTCACTGACATTAGATAAAGGTACACTATCAAAAACAGAAGACAACTAAAAAAATGTACAAGCTAAATAAGAAACCAAAGAAACATTTGATGACTACACAAGCAACGAGAATGTATTAACAGGCAAGTAAAAATCTTCCACCATCTTAAACAGATGCTCATGCTACAGGTGTCATTGCAAGTCAAACAAATGGATACAAACCATACTATATTTAACAGTTTTCGAGTAAGAAAACAAATTTAAAATGAACTGATAGATCACTAGTTTGATAGTCCATGCCGACTGCACAGAGAACAAGGTATCATACATAATGCAAACCAAGGCATGATTTTCACAGCAACTCCAAAAGGGGGGGGGGGGGGGGGGACAAAGCAATAAAATATTGAAACAAAATAGAAAAGAGAAAAAAAAAAAAAAAAAAAAAAAGAAGGAATCACCCCTTGATATTGGCAAGGAAGAGGGTGACGAAAAGTATATTTGTGTTCGGTAATAATTTACATAAGTTACACAATGAGAATAAATGCTAATTGAGGTAAAAATAAAATACCTCAGAAATTATTTGAAAGAACTTAGATTATTGTTTCAACCTTTTAACAGATAAATTTATCTATATAACTAAATAACAAAAGTCATAAATTGCAACACTTGCGTTAACCGAGGACATTCAAATAAACTTGTTTAGTTTGAAAAAAAATGATTACAAAGGGACAAGAAATTCATCAACAGTGAAGTATCAAATCATTCTAGCTAACATCAAAACAACAGTGAAATCAATGACGAAAGTTCCTGCAAAGAACACGGCATGTTTTGCACCAAGATTGCTGTTGTTTGCATCTATGTTGTTAAGGGTCCTTATTCAAAATGGTAGCTCCCTTATTTCAGTTATATGATGCATACAACAAATTTTACCCATCAATGATCAATCTAATGAGAAGCAAGCTTGATCCACCATGCATATACCAGAACAAATTGAACAGCAAACAAAGAGTTCCAAACTGTAACTAGAGTTCAATCTCCACCAATGCAATGCCCCTACTATTGTTGAAAAATAAGGATAATCAACTATTTTCCCATTTAGTTGTTTTCTAATGTGTTGGCTTGTGAAGATCAAAGTAAAAATTAACATGAAAATTACCAATTTTTAAATCCAAAACAACCTAAACTGGGAAAAAGGGCATAAACTTTGAAATTTCCAGCAGACATTTCAAGGTACAAATTAAATGAGGCTTCTCAATGGAGCTGACATAAACCATGCGAAATAATTACATTCAAGAATTCTTTTGCCTTATAGAACTACCACCACTCTATCTCAGAGATCTCAAATAGTTATTTTAGCATTTCCGAATTATATCCTAGCTTGAAATTTCATTGTTCCAATGTACTTTAATTCCACACATGTAATTTTGCAAAATAATTAGTCATAACTCATACCATTACACAAGCCACTACAAAATATTGATGTCTTCTACTCAATTGTTCATGTAGTAATTTGAAGAGGATGATGGGGCATATTCAATCACAAATCAGTTTGATTTTGTTGTCTAATTAAATTAATTAGTTTTAAATCTCAAGGAATTTATTTCCTTATATTATAACTAAAAATAAAACTGAGGTCACAAAATATTGGCCCTGTTTTGATTATTATTAGCAGGATTTTAATAGAGAATGAAGCTTCCAATCAGATAAAGAATTAATATATAATTCCTCAGTGAATTAGCATACTCCCTTGATGGGTGAACCAAATATCAATGACTATCATATTCATAACTTCTACAAGCATACAAGCCACTATCATCTATGTCCTACTATTAGCCAACAAGAGTCCAGAAATCATGGCAATCACCGATCAGAAAGTTTGTAGACACAAGACTGCTGTATCAACCACAACTACATGACTTGTATACCTACTATATGTAATTCAGCTAAAAAAGCAGTAGAGTGAGTTGAACCTGATAAATTGTCAAATTATCACTTAGATTCTCTTTTCATAATATAGTACATCTCTGATAAAGACTTACTATATAATAATGGCAGCCAGTTTGAATTATTGTCAGAGAAAGTTCTCAAAACTTTCCAAGCACAGATATATCCTAAAATGCTGACACATTCACATCCCAACTTCGTACATTACGTCAAATAGATCACATATGCAGACACATCTCATGTTTGAAATCTTGAGAACCATTGTTCCAAGATCATATCTATGCATGTGTTCGAGTAGCATCTACGTCTTGACAACTCTATAGACTATAAAAGACAAATCCAAAAAATATGTGGGCTATATGCCAAGTGCGTGGAGAGGTGCCCTATCACATAAGCTCCAATAATTAGCAAAGACAGTAAGTTTCTGAACTAGACTAGCTTAAATTACTATATAAACCAGGAACTATCCAAGCATGAATCAAAACCAAGCAAACAGTAGCAAGGGTTTCTTATAAAGCAGCTGAAGGTCTCACAAAATTTGGCATCAATTGAAACGTTTAGTTCATATATAACATGCAGCATGTTATAAAATCATTCAGACTACAGTTTCAGCCCTTACTGCATGTACTTTTACAGTTCTAAGCAGTAAATACTACAAAATGTCCTATGTTTACCGTTCATTGAGGAAAAAGATGAATCAGAATAAGACTGCACCAACTTGTTTTAAATAGGATCAGCAGAACTTACAGAAAACATTGTATTTTCCCAAGCAAGGAAACACATTACTGGAATAATCAGAATGCCTCTAAAACCTAGGCTATGGGGCATGAGTCGACACAGATTCCCAAAGGATACTATTAAACAATTCCATTTACATAACTAATCTTTAGGAAAACAAGAATAACATAACAAGCATAGTGGTACTCACTAGACATGTACATTACTTAAGTTGATACACAAACAAAAGCACAAACAGCAGAGCACAATAGCACATAAACAAACTTATCATGGGATTGAAAATTTACAACAATTCTCATGAGATTTTAACTTAAAGCAGAAATTTCGCACACCTGGGCTCAAATTCTCTGATTTCAACAAGCTCAATACCACAAGCATCTGTCCACTGCACCTTTCTTCGTTCTGCATAACTAGGGATACCAGCATCCTTTTCCTTTGACGCCTCAAGGTCATTAACATCCTGAAGAGGAACTGAAGTACTATTGGATCGCTTCTTCAAACTACTTTTAAGAGCAATCTTTCTTGCATTACAATTGCCATCATCAAGTTGAGTAGCATGATCATTATTCTTATCAGAAACAAGAGGCCCTGGCAAGACATCCTGCTGTTGAAAAGGGCCAACTTTTAAAGGCGATGGGGTATCAAGCCCTGCGGAAGTGCGACCAAAGCAGACAAAAGAGGCGCACCCGCAGGAAAGCCGGTTCTTGATGGAAGCCAGCTGGAGGTCAGGATCAGGTTCTAGGTCCACCAACTGGTAATGGTGCCACGGCAAAACTCTCATGAGCTTGTCCTCGTGCTTCTTACCCAAGAGAAGAAGGGCCAAGCCCTTGCTATACCCAGAAGCTGAAGAAGAGAAGAACCCTCCTCCTTCTACTGTCAATAACATCAGTTCTTCTCATCTGGGACACCCGTACAACACTTTTTTTTTTCTTTTAAACTCCCTCCAGTCACATCAACTACCCGCAACTCCTTCATCCACCCATATCTCACAATCAGTGAAGTTAACAGAACATCCCAAATAATCAAATTTAACAATCAATGAAAGCGCTTAAATTCCAGTTATAGTTACTAATGGAGTGCAATCCTAAGCAAAAAGTTTTTGCAGACATAATAACTATTGTGTTCCCCAAAAACTGTAATAATTGTCAACATGGTCACCTCCTCATTAAAATTTTACTACCACACATAATTAAGATCTATAAATTTATTAAATAAATAAATAAAATTCAATAACATTAATTCTTTTTTATTTTAAAACTCAAAATGAAAAGAAAAAAAAAATCGAGAATCGATAGCAACATTATCCAATATATATACAGAATTCTTAAGAACATCAACTCCAGTAATAAAAAAATTAATTAATTTAAGAGTGATTTAAGATCTGTTTATTTTTAACGTAACAGGGACGAGCTCAAAGCAATTCTCTGTTTGATTGAAATGAAAGCATTAAAAATGGAGCAGAAAAAAGTCGACGGTGAACAATTCAAAGTGAAAAAAATTTGTTTTTTCCTTTTATTTTCTCAGGAAACAAACAGGAAATTAAATCAAAAAAAGGCGTGTGAGATTTACCTGATGGCGAATAAACAGATCTCGAGAGTAGGGAAAACTTAAGAACTAAATAAGCGGCGCCGGCATGTTCAAGCGCGATTAACGTACGAATTAATCGGCGAGGAATTGGGAAATGTAGAGGGGAAATAATAGGGAAATTACAAAAAGAAAAAAAAAAAGGGAAAAAAATAGATTGGGGGATGGGGGAAAATAAATTGAATGAGTTTACATCTGGTTGGAATTATTTAAAGGGAAAGATAGGGATAGTGATATACGTGGCGAATGATAGCGATAGCATGGGCCCCTTTTTTTGTTTTTGTGGATTTTGGTTTTTTTTTAACTTTTTATTAAAAAAAAAATGCGTTGTGAATTTGTGTGTGTTGGGACAGCCTGATCTGTTTGACTGCTTTTGGCTTTGCTTTGAATCTTAATAATTAAAATATTGATATTTATTTACACATTTATGATTATTTTTATTAAAAATCATAATTTAAATTAAAATATAAACTACAAATATTATTAAATATTATCTTTCAGAAATAATTAAATTTAATTTGCGATAAATTTTTTATTTACTCTTTTTATTAGAAGTGTAAAAACATATAAATAAATTTAACGTAATAAGTTAAAATGTAGTTTGAATTGTTTCACGATTGTACTTTGTTTCAACTCTTTCAAGAAATACAAGTGCTAAAATATAATGACACCTACATTGACAAACGAGAAAACAAAAAATTACATAATGTATGTCATTTTAGGGATAATACCTCATATACTAAATTTATTATAATTAAATAATTAAATTTTAAAATTATGTAAAATTTATCAAAATATTTTATAAAATTAATTTTTATAAATAATTAACGTTCATATGATTTTTTTATTATGATTTTATAATTATAATATTATAATAAAAAATTATAATTGATATACTTCCATTATTTTGTGTCTAGCTGTAATAGTTATTATGATTTTATTTCTTTCTGTACTTCTAAAAAATGATAATAGAACATTTACATATATTTTGTTTGAAGTAAATAAACTGTGAGGAACAACTATTGAAAGGAATTAGCTTATAGCTTTCAAAATTTACAACCCTTAAAACATCATTTATTCATATGTTAGATTTCACAAGGAAAGACATCTAGTTTTCTTTTTTTTTTAATATTCTATTTGTTATTTGAATTTGTTGGGCTAAAAGCTTCCAATCCAATCACACCAGCGAAAGCGAAATCAACAATAAATCAAACACATAAGAGACAAAAATTTAACGTGATTCGATCCAACTGACCTACATCCACGGATGAGAAACAAGATCCACTAGTTGTAGAGAATTACAAACATACATCAAATCATCAACCTCACTTAATAATCAATACTCATAAGAAACTCTCAATCCCTTCTAGTCTTATGGAGTATTCTCAACCCAAACAAACACAAACCCTTGTGCACTCTTTCAACATAACCAAACACATACTCATATGCTCTCATACATCATACTTATGTGGACCCTCTCAGTCTCCTCTAGTCCACTCACAAACAAACATACACACACATCCATAAGACGTAGAGCCCCAATACTCTTATAAGGTGTCTATCCCACAAAATCCTACAACTCTCTTACATCTTTTTCTCATACATAATCCTGTAGAGACTTCACCTATTTATAACCATACAAACTTGCCCATTAAGAATCCCTCTCCTCTTAGAATTCTTCTCCTGTAAGTCAAACTTGCCTATTAAGAATCTCATTTCCTTTTAGAATTCTTCTCTTGTAAGTCAAACTTACCTATTAAGAATCATCTTTCTCTTAGAGCTCTTCTTTTGCAAGTGTTCTTGTCCATCAAGTAATATCTGATAAATCTCAAACAAATCCCAAACAAATCTCTTATGAGATTTGAGTCAATATTCCCAACAATCTCTACATTGACTCAAATTCCATTAATCATCTGTCTTCATGCTAGACATGCTTGGCTCCACCTGCAATGAAAGTCTCACAATCATCTTCTCTTATGTCTTCACACTTCATACAAACTAATCCTCAATCTTAAACTCGAACTCTTCTCTTGAATCGAGCTCCTCTAAGCTTACTTTTTTCCATTGTCTCAAACTAAGCTCTTTTCATATCTCGAACTGTCAACTCTTCCCACGTCTCGAACCATCGATTCTTCCCACATCTTGAATCTTTAACTCTTCTTATGTTTCGATCCTTCAACTCTGATATCACTTGTTGGGAAACACCACAGCTCTGATACCATTTATTGGGAAACACCACAGCTCTGATACCATTTGTTAGGGAACACCACAGCTTTGATACCATTTGTTGGAGAACACCATAGCTTTGATACCATTTGTTGGGCTACATCCATGAATGAGAAATAAGATCTACTAGTTGTAGAGAATTACAAACATACATCAAATCATCAATCTCACTCAACAATCAATACTCATAAGACACTCTCAATCTCTTCTAGTCCTATGGAGTATTCTCAACCCAAACAAACATAAGCCCAAACCTTGTGCACCCTTTCAACACAATCAAACACATACCCATATGTTTTCATACATCATATCTACGTGGACCCTCTCAGTCTCTTCTAGTCCAATCACAAACAAACATACACACCCATAAGATGTAGAGCCTCAATACTCTTATAGGGTGTCTATCCCATAAAACCCTACAACTCTCTTACATCTTTTTCTCATACCTAACCCTGTAGAGACTTCATTTATTTATAACCATACAAACTTGCCCATTAAAAATTCCTCTCCTCTTAGAATTCTTCTCCTGTAAGTTAAACTTGCCTATTAAGAATCCCTTTCCTTTTAGAATTCTTCTCTTGCAAGTCAAACTTACTTATTAAGAATCATCTTTCTCTTAGAATTCTTCTTTTGCAAGTCTTATTGTCCATCAAGTAATATCTGACAAATCTCAAACAAATCTCTAACAAATCTCAAACAAATCTCTTATGAGATTTGAGTCAATATTCCCAATAGAACTAAATTTAAGAATCTCAAACTCTCCTAAGATTAAAAAAAAAAGATTAAATGGCTTTTGACACTATTAAATTTTTATTTTTTATTTATTTTAAAAAATTTAAACTCAGCTACTTTAATAAAAGAATATATGCTCTTGTTAATAAGTCTAATACTTAGGTCCATAAAAAAGTGTCAAATATTAATTTTGTTACTATTAACCATTTATCCCATTGAAAAAAAGAAACAATGATACCAAAAAAAAAGTATCAAATATTAATTCAAACTTAAAGCTTAATTTAATGAGTAAACTTTTAAAATATATCTTATGGTTAAGGTCAAAATGAAAGTGACTCTTGAGGTTTAAAATATAATACTTAATCACCATGTGCCTCTATTTCGTTTTCACCTACTTAACATCATTAGAAGTAAAATGACCAAATTATCATGCTTATAACACAAGCCACGAACAAGAAATAGGAGCAATTGAATAGTAAACAAAAAATTGAACAAGACTTCCTTCAATCATTCTGATCTTCATAGAAAAAATTTTTCATTCAACAATCAATCCTCAAAATCATTTGATTATTGGTAGAGAAAGGTGTTTGGGCTGGTGATTGAGATCAAAATTTAGGTTTGGAGATGAAATTGGTTTTCGGTTTGGAGAAGTGAATTTTAGGCACAATTTGGAGGCGTTTCATTGGATTCACACAATCAAATAAGGTATGTACAATTCTCTCTTTAATTTCAATGCAATTGGTTTTAGATTAATGTTAGGGTTAGCAAATTTTATTAAAAACATTTGAGAATTTTTTATACTAAACTTCATATCATAATCAATTGAGAGTTTTTGAAATTTTGAAATGTTATTAACTTCATATCAGAATCAATTTGTTATGTTAACTTCATATCAAAATCAATCGTAATTTCATTAAAAAAATTAATTTTTTTTTGCTACAGATGTGGAATGCCAAGAAAACTATTGAGTTTTATCATAGTGGGTCATTTATGCATATTCCTAATGAAGTTTGGGTAAGAAGTGATATAGCATGGGTGGATGATTATCCTTTAGATAGGTTGTCATTTTTTCAGTTGCAAGATTGGGTTATTAAATTAGGGTATGAGAGTATTAGTGACATGTTTTATTGTATTCTTGGGCTATCATTTGATAAAAGGTTGAACTGTATTCGTTCAGATATACATGTTGAACAAATGGTTCTATGTCATCAAAAGAAAAAAACTATTCTAATATATGTTGTAACATGTAAGCCTCATTTTTTTGTTATATATCCATGTACACCATCTGAGAATGAAAATGAGGAACAATCTGGGAGGTCTACTTAAGAACTTATAGCTAAATAAAATACTATAAAAAATAATTGTGGAAATGATATTGATAATTTGGCAAAAAGCAATGGTGGAAATGATATTGCTATTTGGCAGAAAATATTGGTGCTAATGAGGTTGATGATGGTACTTGTAATGAGGTAGAAAACAATTATGCAAATGAGGTCAAAGATGGTACTACTAATTTGGCAGAAGATAATCGTGCAAATAAGGCTAAAAGTGATGCTCAAAATACTGGTGAAGATGCTGAAAAGATGAAAAGAAAAATGGTGAAAACGGTGATGAAGATGATAATGACTATCATGCAAGCAATGAATAAAACTATGATGGCTATTCTAGTAGTGATCCTAACTACTTTGATGAAAAAAAATAGACTAATGATATGTTTGAGGATAATGAAACCGGTGGTCTTAAGAAAACAGAAAGACCTAGTACTAGACAACCTACTCTAGAGAGGTCAACTGAAACATTATTTTAAAAAAGGATGTAGTGATGGACAATGGTGATCTACATAATGTTCATGGATTTGATGAAGAAGTAGATCATTACACAATGTTCAATGAAGAGGTTGATATGAAGAATCTATAGTTCAAGGTTGGATTTAAGTTTATTAATGGCACTGTTTATAAAAAGGCATTGAAGGACTACTGTGTTCGTAGAAGTTATGACTATAAGTTTAGAAGGAATGATGAAGATAAAATTACTACTATTTGTGTTAAAGACTATGGATGGAGAATATATGGATCTAGGTTGAAAGAAGATTATGCCTTTCAAATAAAGACTTTTCAACTACAACATAATTGCTCAAAAGAGTTTAAAATTCACCAAGTCACTGCAACTTATTTAGCTAAGAAGTTTTTTGATGATTTAAAAGGATAACCCAAATTGGGA